AACCTTTCTAATTTAGCAGTAGTATTGTCTGGCAGCTCGATGGGCGCTTCCCAATGAAAATGAAGTGAGGGAAAAAGACACTGCTGTGTATACTTTATATATATACACACACACACGCGCGTTCATATGTGGCGACGGCACACACTGTGTGTGAAAGTCCCAGCAGGAAGAGGTTAGGACCCAGTAGCTCCAATTAATTGCCAAGCAGGAGACTCCAAAGAAGGGCGATTATTCCCAATTGTCCTCTCCTGGCCCTCCATTACCTTCTGGCACATGATGTTGTGTAGACTTCCATCCACTTAGATGTTCCCTGCAGAAGTAATTATTCCTTCTCCTTGCCGTATACATATCCACGGATCAGAGTGCGGTTTTTGGCATGTTAAAAGCCACAGAGGAGGATTCTTGCTGGGCTCGGGAAGTTCAGCTTAGAGTGAAGAGATGTGAGAAAAGAAATCTGTTTCAGATCAGCGAACAAATTTCAATATCGGACAGAGATAAGCCGAGTAAAGACAAAACGCAGGAAACTAGAGGCTTAAAATCATAGCAAGGGTCAGGCATGGTGGTGGTGGTGTGATGGTCGGGGCTGCTTCAGGACCACAGCTGTAGCTGATGAATTCTGCTCTCTAGCAGAACATCTGACCTTTGACCTTAAATAGACTAAGAAAAGCAAAATCAGACGTAAAGCGCTGTATTCATAAAAATTCTGGCATTTGTTTAAGTTTTTGTAGGTGAGAATTAGGCACCTTGACTCTTTGATGTCGGCTGGGACATCTGTTCCGTTAGACGTTAGATCTTGTAGCCAAACGAGCTTCTGCGGCTTTAAGAGGCTGCTTCCATCAGGAGGGGCCGTATGGATCGGCCAGTGCCTCCTTTATGCACGGAGCATTCAGGTCGCCACACTGGCCTTTGATTTTCCAAGCTGTGTCAAAGGTCATTATTCCCTCCAGCTATCAAATCTCTCCCTAATCCTCTGTGGAGGTTCTCTTTCCCTCATGACCCCGGTCACCTTTTGACCTCAAAATAAGGAGCCCTGGCAGAATTAGCCACCATGTACTGCAAAGCATAGGTGAGGGGACAGAATGTTGTTTTTGAGTTCCTAGAAAATGATGCATGAATGATACTCACACACACACACACACACACACGTTCAGTCCAGTGGTGTGAAGGGCCGAGGGAGATCCTGTCAGAGTTGCACGTCTGAAGTGTCACAGCCAGGCAGCTCGGGCCGTATGGTGGGCAGAAGGAGCCTGTCAAGCTCCAGACACATTTGTCCCTCTGGAAACGACTCGTGTGATCTGATCAAAATCACACACACACACACACACACACACACACACACACACACACACACACACAGAGCAGAAAGTCCAAATTAGCCGAGTCACTCAATAACCTGAGTGTGAACATTCAGAGAGATTCTGTAATACAATTTTATGCTCCAGATTTATTCCAAACCCCAGAGCGGATGCTATGCACGCACACACACACACACACACACAGTTGTTTATGATAAAGAGGGCGGTTTAATGTGCAGATTGTTGATGCCGGACATTTTCCCACAGGGCCCACTTAAGAAATGCTCTCACACATCCAGTTCTTGTTTCTCTGACACACACACGCACACATGCACGCACACACACACACACACACACATACACCTGTCTTTCTATCTTAGTGAGGACCTTCCATTGACTTCCATTCATTTTAGTGACTGTATTAGGCCTAACCCATACCCTAACCTTAACTAACACACCATACCTCTAAAACCAACCACAAAAATGTCCCCACCCTGTTGGTTAAAACCTCATGATGGTCCTCAGTGGGTTGTAAGTACAAGAACACACACACACACACACACACACACACACAGCTTCACAATAGAATCTGTGTCCAGTTCTCAAAACTAAACGTCCTCCTGTGTACATAAATGAAGTGCCGGGCCTTTTGTATCGCTTACCTGGAAGGGGAATGATGAGAAACGAGCCCTGAGGGGCCCGGCAGGAGTTCTGGTAGCGTTCCGTACGGAGAAGGCTTTCCCCGGACCCATTCTTCAGTGTTTAGATTTGTCATGTCCCCATTGTTCAGCGTAGCCATTGTGCAGCAGGGATCCTGTTCATGTTAGTGGCTGGTGATTAGTGTCTTATTGTCTGGAAAGTCGTGTTGGAAATGTCTCACTGTGTGAAAACACTGTAAGTGGATATGTCTGGATTTATGTGTGAATGGTCGTGATTATTAGTGATAAATATGGGCCTGAACACACACACACACCCACACACACACACACACACACACACACACACACACACACACACACACACACACATTCCATCTACTAAATTCTGTTCCAATGGGATTTATTCAACATCCATCCATCTTCTGAACCCGCTTTGTCCACGCAGGGTTGCGGCGGGGGGGGGGGGGGGGGGGGGGGGGTACACCCTAGACAGAGAGCCAGTCCATCACAGGGCAACACAGAGACATACAGGACAAGCAATCATGCACACACACACACACGCACCTAAGAACCCACACATGCACAGGGAGAACATGCAAACTCAATGCAGAAAGATCCCAGGCCTGGAATCGAACCCAGGACCTTCTCACTGCAAGGCAACAGCTCTAACCACTGCGCCACTGCACAGCCCATTTATTCAACATTAATTTACTATTTTCTTTTTAGGTTTAAATGAAAATCCATTAAGTTGGATGTTTTAAAGTTGGGTTCTGTGGAAGGTTTAGAATGAAAAACTATTATATTTTGTTGAAAACACTTTCAACAGCCTCAGTATAGAGAAATAGAGATTAATTAAATAAAATAGTTGAACTAAATAACTTTTTGTCATCCTAAAACATCTCTAGTTCCAAAAATGTAACTGTAGTTGCACATTAACCAGGTAGTTTTAGCAGAAATGTAATGTTTCTCCCAGCTTTACAGAAGATGCTACAGCTAGCTCCTGCAAAAGCTAGCTTTAGCTATTCATGTGCATCCCATAGTGCAGGGGTGCCCAATCCTGGTCCTAGAGGGCCGGTATCCAGCAGGTTGTGTTTTTCTGCTCCAACACACTTGATTAACTGGTGGAATCACCTGTGCAGCACCTCATCAGGCTCTGCAGAAGCCTGTTAATGACCTGCTGATTGAGATCAGGTGTGTTGAAGTAGTTAAAACTAAAACATGCTGGATACCGGCCCTCCAGGACCAGGACTGGGCACCCCTGCCATGGTGCTTCTTGCAGAAATATCATGTTTCTGCTGAAATTCCTGCAGGAAGTACATCAGACATCACAGCTAGCAGCTTCTATGACAGCTAGCTGTAGCACTTCCTGTGCAGCCTGGAGTATTTCGTACAAGAATATCTGCATTTTTCTAGTGCTAGAAGTACTAGAGACATCAAAGGAAGTGCTACAGCTAGCTTATACTAAGCTAGCTACGACCAATGCAAATCCTTTTTGCAACACAACCATAGCCTAAAATGTAAATAAAACACCTGAGCTTCCAGTTTATTTTTGAAGAACCACGTTTTCTCTCGTGTCCTTCCAGAGACGAACAGCTACCTGTCCCTGGATGCAAGCCTGAAGACGGAGATGCAGCGAGCTCGCCTCGTGAGCCCCGTGATAGCCGCCGACAGCGGACCTCTCTGCCTCCTCTTCTCCTACCAGCTGTGGGGAGACGCCCAGGGCCACCTGAGGGTCCTGCTGCGAGACGATGAAAACGATGAAACCGTCCTGTGGGCACTGAAAGACGAGCAGAGCATCGTTTGGAATGAGGGACGCACCATCCTGCCTCGCTCCCCTAAAGACTTTCAGGTACTAATATCGCCACGCATCTCAATTATTAACAGAAAAATGAGCAAACCTGAGAAAAACCTTTCACCTTTTATTTTTTTCTTCCACCCCCACCCCCCCTCCGCCTCCGCCTTCACTCGCTATGTTAGGTGGTGATGGAGGGATTCTTTGTCCACGGCACCGCGGGACACATCTGGATCAACAACATCCGCATGAGCGCCAGCTCTCCTCTGAAAGAGTGCACACGTAAGTCAGACACTTTCTTCACCAGCAACAATGCATATGGGGAAAACTAGGGATGGAACTGTGCTCAAGCCCAGCCTTAGGGTACTTGAATCCTGCCCGTTTCCAGGCTGATTTTCCACCGACGAGTCCGCCGAATGCAGAGATGAAAGGAGGGTGGGACAGCGTTTACTCCTCAGCACAAAATAAAGGAAGGAAGAGAAGCTGAATAGGAAAACTAGGCCATAAATGCCCCGTGGGTCCCAGCATCGCTAATCTATGTTTCATTAGATTCCTCTCCTCCTCATCCTCCCCGTTTCACTCCTGTGTCGTATTTGTAAACAGAGCTTTTCCTGAGCCGTCAAAGGGAATTACTAGAGAGGCTGTTTCCCAAGCAAGCTTTGGGGAGACTGGTGTGAGTCGAGCTCCGGCGTAGCCCGCTAATCAGGCCCGAGCAGGGGCTTCGGAGAGGGTCTTAAACAGATCAGAGCCCGAGCTCCAGGTTTACGGCCAACAAACCGCCCGCATCAGTCCAGACTGAGGTCCAGTTCGCTCCGACAGGAACCACGGAGGCGCTTTTCCTCTGTCTTCACCTGACTGTTGAGCGTTTAAGAACGTTTTCACGTGTGTCACCATCACCTATTTCCTCCCATCCGTGTCCTCCTCCACCTCTCCCAGGGCATGCTGGGAATGCTTCTTATCACGAAACACACAGGCGAGTTTTTCCACAGCGTGTTTGTGTTCTCGCCAAAAGGCTCCGGTTCCCTAGTTGGTCTCTTTCTCTTTCAGCCGCCCTCCTTCACACACTCCCGCCATATTCTGAGTTTTCTGTGTTTGCATTCCAGCGAGGTTCTGCCCCGCTCTAGCCAGAACCCCCGAAGCCTGCTCCAGTTTCACCAGCAAACACCTCGTCTGAACTTTACGAGCACGCACATCCAAACTCTCTTAATATGAGAAATTGCGTCTCGGCAAATGCCATAATTCACGTGAGATATCAGGAATTAAATTTCCTCAGGAGGGGTTTGATAGTCTTCTGACATTTCTGTGACATTTGTCTGACTTTTCCCGTCATATTTCAAGTTATCTAACGTTTATTTTTCTGTCTTTCTGTTCCTGCTGCCTGAATCCATCTCAGAACCCATCGCTGCCTTTTCTCCTGAAAGTCCAGGTGAGCCCCACTTCCCTTCTGTTTGGTCTTGCTTCCTGTTCGTCATGCACCAGCTCGGGGTCTCTTATTCTGCAAAGGCTGATTAGACTAATAAAGCTGCTTCTTCTGAGATCATCTGCAGCATGTAGACGCCACCAAACGGGTACTAAACTACTAAAACAATGCAAGCGGGCTAAAGCTTTAGTGGAGACAAACGGTTTTATCCCCCAAACTCTAAATCACCTCATGGATGTTTGAGAGAAGCTCCATTTTTTTTCCCCCCAGTTCAAGGCTGTCCGGCACAGCCGGGAGGGATTTAAATAACTGTCTGCCTCATGAAAAACTCCGAGAGCATCCTGGGGGGAGTCCGTGAGATCGATGCAAGTGTTTGGGCATCTCGTAATGCCTCCCCGATAAGGTCCCAGCGTTGTGGTTTTTATTATGATGCGTGTGTAGCTTCCAGCTCCTCTTTCCCTTCAACACACACAGAGTTAATATCAGCGCGCACGACCGCCATCCCCGGTGAAAAGCAATCAGACACTGACTGAGCAGCGTCGAGCCAAGTGTGTGTGTGTGTGTGTGTGTGTGTGTGTGAGTATCCTCTCCCGAACTCGACTCCGTCTAATGAGTGTGTGCAGTGTGAAGTAGCGGGATCACGCACCATTTCACTCTGTAATTATGTGACACGGTTCAAAAATCAGGAAGTATTGAGCTCTGCTCCGCTGTCCCTGGTTCGGTGTGTGATGTTTCAGACGTGGCTTCTGGCGTTAGATCTCGTCTGGGTTTGAGTTCAGCTGACTGGAGTCGAAGCTTTTTGGAAGCAGAGTTGTTACCGGGAATTTAAGTAGGGGAGGGGTCGCGCCAGGATAGAGGATCTGTGGAGGTAGTCTCCTAGGAGACGGTTCTTGGCTGGAGGAGGAGAGGATTGGCCCGGAGGCTGAAGGAGAAATAAGGATAAGTTACGGTTTGAGGACAACTGGAGCCAGCTAGATAACAGATCTGAGGCCAGCGTTCAGCCCGGGATCGTTCCTGGTTCCTGCATGGCTGCTGGGGAGGGGTGAAACAGGAAGAAGAAGCTTCCTAATTTCATGTGTTTGCTTGTATATCTAATAGTTTTGGTTTCACACCAAGTGACGTCATTGGATCAGCTAAAATCTCTCAGTGATCTTGGTGTGAAAACGTCTCCTCCAACTGCAACCCAGGCCACACAACAGACATGGATGCCTTTTATTTCTTTATTTTTTTCATTGTTTTGGAGATTTTTTTGATTTCTCTGTGTTTTTTTTTTGCAAATGGCATGTTTGTGCATGCTCGTACGAGGTGCACGCCTGCTGTCGGTTCGTTAAAACGCCTCAAAAATAAAAGAAATGGATTCAGAAAGTAAACTCTCCAGTCTGTTTTCCCCTTGGCCAATCACTTTGTGTCTCTCCACCAGGGGGAGGCGTTCCTGTGCCTCCCTTGTCCATCCACTGGTATTACATTATGGCCGCCGGAGGCGCCCTCCTTCTCCTGGCTGTGGCCATCTTGGTCAGGGCTCTCTGTTGCTGTCGACAACACCTGGCCACCAAGAAGAGCCAGCTGTCCGTGGCCTATCACAGCTCCTCACAGTGCTTCCAGTACTCTAACTGGTCCACCAGTATGGCTACCCCGGGGGTGGAGCCAGTCCTGACCGTGAGGCTGGACAGCCGGGACCGACACCGCACCCTCTGCTGAAGCCGTAGCGCTGATGTGGATGTAGCTACTTGAGTTTACAGCTGCGACGACGATGACCCTCTGCAGCCTCTAACGGATAAAGCTTGGCTTGTTTTTCCTTTTTTTTTTTCTGAGTTTACTCTGAACATTTTCCCACCGTGCTGATCCTGATGAAAGCAGAGTCTGAACCGCTCCACTTGGGCCACTGAGCGCCGTCTGGCTCCTCGTAGCCGCGGCGGTCCTCCTGGAGGGACCGCAGCACGAACGCACACGGACACAGAGACAAGTGTGGGTTGGGCGGTGGAAGGGAAGCACCAGGAGCTGCCAAACCACCAGGCTAGAACAAGACCCCGGAGACACCAGAGGACAAACTGTTGGTGTCTCTAACAACAACACAGAGAGGAGAGTAGTGCCGGCGTAGAGGGTGTTGCAACAATTGTCCTTTTCTCAGACAGCAGGTGCACATTTAAAAAAATAACACTCAAAGCCGCGATTCCCGGCTTGTTTTGATGGAGCGGCTCCTCCTGTCCTGACGCACGGCGACGGATGCTGCCATCTTCGCTGCTTAGTGTTTCATCTTGACACTCTGGGTGCAATAAAGCACATTGTTCCACACCACCCACTCCAGTTGTTCCCCTTGTCTCCGAGATGCCCAGATGAAAGCCGAGCCGAGCCTTGTCATGTTTTCAGCGCCGATGTGTGCTTGTTGTTTTTAGGGTTGTAAATAGACACAGCTGTCTGCCATTCGCCACTCCGTCCCTGATTTATGCTCCTACAAATCCCACAATGCTGCTGGACCAGCTGGAAGCCGCGTGTGTGTGTGTGTGTGTGTGTGTGTGTGTGTGTGTGTGTGTGTGTGTGTGTGTGTGTGTGTGTGTACCCTTCAGACGGGGATTCTACATGTAATGAAAACCAGGAGGAAGCTAATGCACTTTTTTCTTTCTTACTAAAATTTTGCAGCAAAAGCGAATTTATTACAAAATTACACCAAATTCTCACAAGTTGGCGCCTCCCAGCTAGCGTGCATAGGCGGGTCCTGTATGGATACATAAGTACAACCCGTATAGGGTTAGTGGGTTCTGTGGTGGTCCCACCAGGGTTTTCCCACATAGATGCTAACGGGTCCTACGTGGGTTTTCATAGGGACACAGATAGTTTGACTCGTCCATGGGTTTGTTGAAACTTATGTGTGGAAATTCCTGTGAGGCAACCACGGAAACTGCGGACAAACCCCGCTGGCACCCATACGGTTGGCCAACATGCATACAAGCTGGGCTGCACCGCTGGTTAGAATGAAATCAAGGTGTTTCTCTACCTTCTGCAGCCACAGCTCAGCAGAACACACCTGAGTTTGTTGACACAACCACAAAAATTAACAAAAGCCTTTCAATTTTTTGGCACACTCTCACTTTATGCTTTTAAATCAACTTGGGGGGGGGGGGGGGGGGGCACCTTGCTCGATCCATCTCCACACCATTACACACCGAGCTTCTAATAGTTGTAATTAGTTAATGGACAGATAGCATTTATTAAGGCTGCGGTAAGCACTTTTCTCCCCTCCATCTGCTGCACCTCCACCGCCCAGTTTGCTGCCAACTTCCGTTGCCCTGGAAACGGTATTAATAATGCCATCGGCCATCAAAGACCTCCAGATCTAGACGGGTGCTTTGCCAAGCAGCTACTCCTCCTGCTGAACGCCTGCCAAGAGCAGCAAACACACACAAAGACACGAAGTATGCTAGAGCCTTTGAGCTGCAGCCACGGCTAGCTTTAGCCATCTTTAATTTAATTATAACTCATCAAAATCGGAACATCTACTGCCTCCACTCCACCGCAGACGCATGTTGCTGTTACTTTTAAGTGGTATTGTTATTTTTTGCCTTTGCATTCACACAGAATGAGCAGTCTTATCTTATGTGATGATTGTGTGTTTGACAGAAATGTATCTTAATGATCTTTCTCTATAAATAAAGTCATATTTTTCTAATATAATATAAAGTGTGTGTGTGTGTTGGGTGTGTCAAGACATCAAAAAGTGCAGGAATTGATAGGAAATTAGCTCATGCAGGTCAAAATATTGATATTATCCTGTTAAACTGTCCCAAACATGATCTGATATTCAGCTTTGTAACATAAATGAACTGTTTCTTCACATTGATCCGTGGATTTTTGTGTAAAGTGGCAAGCAGACAAAGAAACAAGCAAACAAACGCTGCTTTTCCCAGAATAATTTGTAATTCTGACGGATGCTTGTAAACATGCTGCAGCTTGACTGATATGTAAATACGGGTCGAGATTAGACATCATGTTTTATTGCTGTTTTTAATGTTTCTGTGTAAACTAGCTTCCTGTTAAAGGTCAGTGTATCCTGTGTTTCTGCTCAACAGGTATCAGACACAATGAAGTTGGAGATGGGCGTCTTTTCAGTGGCAGAGACCCACAAGGCATAGGTAAGGCACCGTTGATCATTTGTTAACCAACACGTAAAGGACAGTCGGAGCTGCGTTTGTATGGAAAAGGTATAAATTCCTGAGAAGCCTCAGTTCTCTAGCCTGGAAATCAAGCTAGACCGTAGAAGTAGTAAAAGATTTAGCTCTGCAGGACTGTCTATCCACACGCCGTCGTAGCCTTAGCAGGTTCACGGTTAAGTTTAGCCCGGGTCCATCACATCTATGTTTGTGTTTGTTGCTCTGATTGGTCCTGGCGTTGTCCAATTGCATCCGGAGATGGTTTCAAAGGCAACCATAGATTCCACCCCTATGACCAAGCTCTGTCGTTGCGTTGTAGACAGACCCAGAAACAGCTTAACAAGAGCTCAGTGACTCTAATCTCTATAGTTTTAGGACTTCTGGTACATCTGGGGGTCAAATCCATCAAGAATCACTCAGTAGTTAAGCAAAGTGAAAGCTAGCATAACAGTTTGTAAATTGTGTTTAGTTGTTTGCTCATCGAGCCTGAGGGAGATGGAAGCCACTTAGGAACAAAGATCTTAAAGAAACCTTCCACGGTGTCTAAAATGCTCGTGCTTGTTTCAGGTTTGCACTTCCCTGAGTGGAACACGCCGTCCCCGTCATCCGACCCTCCTGTGACGAGCATCTCGGAGAAAGACAACTCCTGGTTGTACACCTTGGACCCCATCCTGGTCACCATCATTGTCATGAGCTCCCTGGGCGTCTTGTTGGGCGCGGTCTGCGCGGGCCTCCTGCTGTACTGCACGTGCTCCTACAGCGGCCTGTCGTCGCGCTCCTCCACCACGCTAGAGAACTACAACTTCGAACTGTACGACGGCCTCAAGCACAAAGTCAAACTCAACCAGCAGCGCTGCTGCACCGAGGCGTGAGGGGGCGCTTTGTGTCGCACTGTTCCCTTCGTTCTTTGCTTTGTTTGTTTTTCTTCTCGCCACTTCACTTTAGCGTCAGCTGACTTCCTCGGTGGTGCGGATCAGAGAACGTGGCACCGTCCACGATCTTTCTGGGGTTACCTCTAAGGACTGCTCTGCTGCACGGATGATGGGCCTCAAAAATAAACGAAACATCAACACATATCAAGTCACCAAAAGAAAAGTGTTTATAAATGCATCGTAGATTTGTCTAGTTTTGAAACTGGATGCTGTAATCTCCACAGACCTACGCAGAGCCAAGCACATAGTGTTGAAAGGGTGGTAGGTTAGGAACACGTATTTTTGATCACATGTGAACACAGTGGCCTAGATCTTAGCTCCTTTGTTTGGCCCCTTTTGTTCCGTTGTAGACTCTGCCTCAGTTATCCCCCGAGTTCCCGACAGTCGGTGGTATTTTTAGTCCTCAGAGTCTCTTGAGTTTCTGCTCAGTCTCTTTCTGTTTGATGTTTTCTTTCTGCGCTGTGGCCGTCCGTAGTGGAAGATAAGTTTGGGGAAGAAAGAGGTGGATAAAGTATACATACGTGTGTGTAGAGGTGGGAGGGGGGCATTTTTATACGTTCTAACGTCAGAAAGACGTTCTTGTTAGATTTAGCTGCTGTTTCCTGTTATTGAGAAGGTCGTGTTTACATTGCGGTAAATGGTAAAAAGGAGCTTTGGACGGTGCATCCTATGGATTGCTGTTAGAGAAGAGACTGATAAAAGGAGAGGAGGAGTGAGACTGAAGTCCTCTGTCTGTCTCTCATGGGGATGATGCTCTCACTATTGGATCAGAACCACAAAATCCTCCTCAGACTGCTGTGCGCCCAGACGCACAACGAGCCTTAAAAGTGAACTGTTGGTGGGAAAAGGATCAGCGGGACATATTTATGTTACACGTGGACCTCAGAAGCCATGATTGAAAGGACCTACCCTCATCCTCACCACACACACACCTCAACTTCTCGGCTAACAGTGGCCTACTTTGGGAATCTTCTCGCACAGCAAGGGAATCTTATTCATTTTTGTTTTGTTAATTTTTTTTGTACTTTTTGTTAAAAAAAAGAAATACGGTTTTGAACCAGTCAGAGAGGGTGTTGCATGTTCTGAACGGACTCGTAAGCCGTGAGGAGGAGAGCCAGAGGAAACAAATATCCAAACACTTCACTTGTACATACAGAACGTTTCTGGATCATCTCAATGCCAGAGCACTCACACGCTAGCTAGCCACGACCCTCTGGTTTCTAAATAAAACCCCAAACACGCACTCCACTCCGCCCAGTCCACCCTCGGCGCTCTTCTCTCCTCTGAGGCCCACGTTTACGGACCCCACTGACTCTCTTCAAAGTGCCTTGGAGCCTCGGGGATCCAGCTTGCCTTTGGAGCCAGTATCAGAAACGTTCATTTGACTCTCACAGCGCCCTCTTCTGCCTGGGAGGACCAAAACGACTTAAAAAAAGACAGGAGCCCCTCTTTTTTTCGCACTGCTAGGACTGCTGTTGTCATTTTAAAGGGGTCTTTGTACAGAAATGCTCTTTTTATGATTGTTATTATAATTATTGTTATGATTATTTAATAAAGGATTTATACCATACTGAAAATGTCTGAGTACATTAATTGAAAGTGAAGAGGGCAGTTGGGTAACATAATCATTATTTTGATCAATATTAAAATCACTATTATTCATTAAGGTGTGACAAGCTTTTACTTTTCCAGTAAAAATACCCCAGAAATGCTGCGGCAGCAAGTCAAAAGCTGAGCATAAAGTGATGGTTTGCACTAATTTGTAATAACTTTATTTATAAAGTGCTTTCGGTCAGAGAGAGCACTGAACAAGTCGGATTTTTAAAATGAATTAAAACAACCTTGAGATAAAATAGTAAAAACTACAATCAAGCAAAACAATTAAACTGTTTAAAAACCCTAATCGCTTAGCTGGGCTCCTCCACACTGTCCTAGTGGCGTGTTTTCAGTTAATACATTTCACAAATGCATACTTGCTTAGAGCAAAACGTGACATAAAGCCTAAAATATCCAGAGTTCACATTTTTAAGAGCCTACAGGCACTGATTTATGCCAGCAGGTGGCAGAGTTGAACCATTTAGAGTTAATTTAATCTAAACTTAAGTTTAGGAATATTTAGGTTAAAGAAATGTTTTAACTTTCAGCCTTAACTCATTCACTGCCAGTCGTTTCCTGATCGGTAAAGCCCTTCGCTGCCAGCGTTTCTCAGCGTTTTTACTGTTGTTCTAAGAGTCACAGAACGTTGTGCATTAGGATGATGTTGATGCCAAAACAAAGCGGAGACTCACCTCTTACATCAGGAAGAATCCGCGCGTTTCGAGCGTTATCTGTTCTTTCATAAGTCGTTGTTGAATTGTGATCGTCAGAAGCTTTTCCGGTTCACGCCTCACTTTTTTTTACAGCAGCGGTCAAAAACGATCTCCTAACACGTGAATTTTCTGCTTCCTGATCATGTGACGTGTGACGTACGCGGATGAAGATCGGCTTTAGAGCTGAGATGTTTGTTCTCTCGGCGCGGGGACTCGTTCCAACGCCCACTCAGTAAAAACATGCAAATGACGACTTAAGTCGTCATTGGCAGTGAATGAGTTAAGGTGCAATATGGTCAAATTTGGGTACTGCAGCCCATTTTTCTAAACAAAAAGTGACGTTCGCACTCCTGTTCTATGAGTTTGATGATTGTTGCCAGTTACGGATCAGCTCCAGAAGATTCTAGATGACGAGCAAAGATTAGGCATTCACAGAAAGTTGGATAAATTCATATCTATTTCTGGGTGTTTTACAGTAGGGTGCAGTTACTACACTTATTACGGTAGTATGCCTCCGACATTAAAGGAAGTGTAGTTGTTTATCATCTTGCTGTTATCGTTCTGAGCGACTCGTTAAAGGAAGTAAAACGCCAAATAAAAGCATGTTTGTTTTTACTTTTTAAACGTATTGATTACATTGCGTTCAAGATTCTGGACGACAAATAGGAGTTAAATTCAATTAAAGTCAGGAATTGACGCCGCCTGTCTAATTACGGAAACTCGCAGCCAGAACTTTCACTTTTACTTAAAGAAAAGACACACACACACACTCATTCATGTTTTTGCTTCTTTGCAGTGCACATATCACAGTGCTGCCAGCCCGCTCCACTTGGCCTCTAATCTCTGCATGATGTCCCATTAGCCGGGACCTCTGGTGGCCCTCATTTAGGAAGCTGCAACATCAAAGCTTTGAAGTGCCCACGTCTCAAACACACATACACATTTACAGTACACGTGCAATTACTCAGTTGAGTTTCATACAGCTTTGGGGATCACACACACGTTTCCATTTACCTACATAAGCTCTCCTCACCTATCCGTTAGCAAACGGTGCAGACTGATTTATTTTGCTGTTCCAGCTCTTCTATGTTGAGAGAAATTAGAAGATAAATGAAAGCGTCAAAGTTAATGTAGCATTTTGTGGCTGATTCCTTGAACGTGTCTCATTCATCGCTGTAGCTTTTTTAGTTACAGCTGTGTTAAACACGAGTGTGAGTAGATATTAAATGGGGCTTGTTCAGATCTGAAGGTGTTGCTGGTGCTGCACCGGCGGTGATGGCAGTAGCTGTTAGTGCGCGCCGGTCCGTGGCGTCGAAGGCCAATTACTGAATCTGGAAAATAAAAAACACACAGACAGTCCCCAGTCTGCTGGAGGAGTGTGATGCCATCTGCTCGCAGGTTTGATTGATCCCGACAGAACGGTCTCAACCACATCACACGAATGAACGCCGACAGGAAATTACCAAAGGAGCCAGATTGTCATTGTTCCGTACCGCCTCTTGTTTTCCAACCAAATTAATCCTAATTTTTCTCTCTTTCCTTCCATGTGTGTGTGTGTGTGTGTGTGTGTGTGTGTGTGTGTGTGTGTGTGTGCGTGTGTATGTATTACCCAAATGTTTTTTTTTCAGGGTCTTTTTATCAGTATGTAACGCCACACTGCAGGGGCCCTTTAGCCGTCAGATCAGAGACTTATTTTCCTCTGAAGCCAAGGCGGCCTTCAAAGAAGAAAGAAAAAGCCCTGGCGCCCTGTAAGCTGATAGGCCAGATTGCAGTTCGTGTCCATTTGAGGGTCGCTCTACAGGAAGTGACTGAAACACACAGCTAATTAATCTGGGGATTATATAATCAGGATGGAACAAAGGGCAGAACACCATTAAACACAGTCAGGAACAAAACTTATTAAGTTTTATGACTTCTTTTGTTTTTCTGCACAAATGCGTCTCAAAAAACTCACCAAGTACGCAGGTTTGAACTCCTGTCCTTAATAGTTCAGCTCTAGGTTTACCCACGCACAACGGTGCATGACGGCTGCTCAGAGGAAAAGAAAACAGCAGGAAGAGACGAAAAGAAAGCAGTAGAACTGTTGAAGTCGGGGCGGGGCTTGTTTAGTTTTACGGGATTCTCAGTCCTGTTCTTTGGTGTCGTGTACATTTTAGGACATCTTCGGGTCTCAGAAAAACATCTCTAGACATCGGATCAGACGGCTTCAGAGGAAACGTGTCTGGTTTCATTTGAAGGCCACGTTCACTGAGAAAACTTTTTTTTTTAACTTATTTTTTATTTATGATGGGACACTATCAGTTTCACATGCAAGCTGAAGATGAAATTGTTTTCTTCGCCTATTTCCTGAAACAGAAAATAGACGGGGATCTACGACACGCTGAAAATTAGCATTCATGGACTCGCGCACCTTGGCTTGTGATGAGGAAGGCTGTTGTTGGTTTAGCATCCAGAAGAGAGCACGGTGCGTTTTGGCTAGCAAAAGCTAACGTTAGCATTAGCAACTCCACCACATGGCAGAATTCCTCCAGGCTTGTGTTTGTGGAGATAAAGCGATCGTCGTAAAGCTAGTTTCTGCTTCTGTGTCCCTATGGAAACACGCAACGCCATTATTCGTTGCTGTGAGGCTCTCCAGCAGGCTTACAGGGACAGACGAAGTTGTGTCCACTTTTCTAAACGTCCATCCAACAAAACAGAGAACGCAAGCTTGTGATTGGTTAGGACCATCGACATAAATATATGGACAATGGGTTTCCATAGCCTCCAATAATAAGTTTTTGTACTAAAATGGGAGGTGACCACCACCGCCATTTTGACCGTGTCACAGGTTCCGTCAAGCCCAGACAATTCCATAAAAGGGAAGAGAGGTGGAGCTGAGGGTGGGGCTGTAAGGCTGGGATCAACTGACGACACCCGGTCGAACTAACTACAAGCTAACCTGAAGCTAACCCAAAGCTAATGCGGAGGTGGGAGCTAAGCTAACGGAGGTAGCAACCTAGCTACAACCGGAGTTAACTGTGCACAACACCAGAGCTTCTGAGTCAGGGCTACGCCGGGCTGACCGCTGGGTAAAACCGGGTGGAACACAGAGGTCTCCAAGACCTCCACAAGCCGGCAGCTGCACAGCAGACAAGCGCCGCTGCGATCTGAGATGCGTAGAGCTGCCGCTGGGGAGAACCGGGTGGAAAGGTTTCCATCCCAGAGCTCCACAAGCCGACAGCCCGTGCAGCACAGAGAAGCCGCGATCAGACAGAGATGCGCCGAGCTGCAGGGAGGGGAGAACCGGGTGGAAAACATCAGTCTCCCGAGAGCTCCACAAGCCGATAGTCGGAACCCAGCTCCACCAACATGTTATATTTCAACCCATTTTCTAAAGTGCAGCATTATGTTAAATGCACTGGGTTTTACCCTATTACATTTATATTTCATGGTTAAACAGTACATGTTAAAATCTAAGCTCAGCTCGGCAGTGACCTAAAATACATAAATATAATTTTACTTACCGAAAAAAATGAAGTGGAGACTCCTTGGACGCTCTGTTAGTGCAATTAATGCCACAGCAAGTCATTTTGTCCAACAATTGCACAAATAATATCCAAAAAAGAATACACAAACACAGACTCAAAATCCCGGAGCAGTTTCCAGGCCAGACCGAGGCTCTACTGAGGCCTTTCCACGGAGATAGCTCTGTGGTCACGTGGGTCTGATGCTCATTAATTATACAGAATTTTAGGCTTTTAATACACTTAAACAGAAGAGTGAGAAAAAAATTCAACCCCCTCAGAGTTGTCATGAGTGTAAACTAGATCATTTAAACCAAAAACATGTTTTGGTACCAGGCTGTAAACATGTTTATTTCTGTTGTGAAATTGGTATTTTTAACATGGGAGTCAATGAGGATTTGCTCGCTTCTGACACCAGCCCCCAGTGGATGAGGGTGGAACTGCAATTTTTGGTACTTCCGGGTTGAGACCAATTTCTGAGCCGCATTGTGGGGGCTTGGTCAAGACGCCGCTTCTTTTAAATTCGTTGACAGCAACACCATTTCGCCCTCAAAAAAAAAAAGAGAGCCAACAATATCTAGCAGCAGACACGGAGCAGCTTGAAGTGGAAAAACTACAAATATGAACGTTTTATTCGCCCATGACTGGAATAGTAAAAAGATACGCAGCAAACATTTTATTTATGGCTGGAAATGATGGGAAACATGGTGGTGAGCGCATTAAGAGGTGGAGGAGAATGAGGGACAAATATTCCCATG